CCTGTGCCTGCCTGCCTGGTCTAATGTGGCTCGTAAATCCTGGCCCAAACTGCCGGCCGACTGGTTAGTTGCGTTCGCCTTGGTGCCCCATCTGATGGATGTTGTGATGCGGCCGGGGCGGCACTTTGCCAGATTTACGCCCCGCAATTAACGTTCTAATCGCCCCAATTTGTTAGGATCAGAGGGGGGGTAGCTGCAAGGAGCTGGACCGCAAAGCAGCCAGATAATCAGCCCCAAAACAGCCTACAAGTCAATTGAAAGTGTCGACGAAGTCGAGGAAACTCTCGAAATTGATTTCAGGTTGTGCACTAAATTAATCCTAATGGAAAAATACATTTCGGAGATAGGAAGGCATTCATTTTCTTTCAGGAGTTTTCTTCAGTTTTTGGCAATACGGAAAAATAGTTTATCTAAGTATGGTTTTATGTTTAAGTATATTTTAAGTTAAAAATCAATTCATTTTACAGAGCTTTTTAGAAATGTTTAATATTTAAGTAGTTAATATTGTATTGTAATTTATTTTAAATTTTCTAGATCATTGTTGTTTTTAGTATCTTACAGCGAGGAAGATATTTCTCAGGTTAAAATACACCTGTTCATAAAGCTCATAAAGCTGGCGCCGCTGGCAAGCTTTGCGTCAGTATTTGGAACTCTGGAAGGCCTCTACACGTAAAATAAGCTAAGAACGTCATGTAACAGCTTGAAAAAGTGTAGAATTGCCTTTTTTGACGCCAATAGGTGACGCTACCAAAAAATAAGACAAATTTTAATAATAAAACTATTAATTTTAATAAAAGATTTTTAAGAAAGCTTCAACTGCTTTACTGATCTCTAAAAGTCAGTAAGCAGAACTCGGTATTGAAGGCAACCCATTAACACTTTTAAAACCCAAATCCTAGGCCTTTTTAACAGTTTCTTTACATTCCTGGCAAACTGTCCATTAATTCCCCCCATTACCGGCGGGGCCAGCCTTTTGTGAGCTCATTGCCGTTAAACAAATAAAAATAAACTAAGCGTAAATACTTAAGAAGAGCATAAATGCGAAGAGAAGAGTTTGTCCTTTGTCCTTAGCTTTGCTGGCGGGGAACTATTGACCTTTCTGGCGGGCGGGCTGTCCCCATTCTGGCCTATACTATGCGTGGATGGGTGTGTGTGCTAAACTTTAAATTGTCCAAAGCTACGTGCCCCGCATGCGGAGTTCATAAATCCAAGCGCTAAATGTAAACATCAACAGTTGTGCTGCTCCGTGGGCAGCGACAACAACAACAACAACAGCAACGATGGGAAAAACTTGCAAAGTTCAAACACAAACTAATGCAGCAGCCAAAGCAGGAACAAAAGCCACACCCACCGCCCACACACAACACTCCCTTAGCCCCACTTTCTTTCGCCCCCAAAACTCTCCTTTTGGCCAGGCACTTTCACTGTTGTTTTTGTTGCCATTCTGGTCCTGGTTATTGTTGTTGTTGTTGGTGTGCTTAATGCGCGATGGCCAAAAGAGTGTGTGTGTACGCTGAGAGAAAATATTTGTAATAATTAAAGATTTATATAACTTATAACTAATCATTCTTCAAGGGGTCTTCTAAGAAAATATATAATTTTTGTATAAAATATATCATTATTTATTAAACTAATATTCTCTCAGTGTAATCCTACATATGTATGCTTTAGTTGGAGGTGTTGCTGGCTGGCAGGACTAGCATAGAGAAAACCTCCTGTAGGTCCGGTCCTGACACAAGCAGCTAAAATAAAATAAGCTTGAGTTTTGTTTTCGTTTGTCGTATAAGCAATGGCTTAAAGTCCTGGTCTGCCGTTGGCCCCTTATGCCTCCTTGCCACGCATGTTGCAAGTGGTAATGACCTACCACCATAGCCACCCACACAGCCGCACAGCCGCACGGCAACACACAAACGCTTGTTGCACTGGCCCGAGGGTTAAGTTCCGATAATTATGAATGCAAAAGTGGAGCACAAAAAACGAAACTCATAGTGCAAAACAATCCACACACACAAACACATAGAAGTAAATGTGTGGCATGCCGCACTTAAAGTTGTTTACCTTTTTTACGGCACTTATTTCCAGTTGAAATTTAATTGGCTGAACAGAATTGGTATGGAATGGAGCCCGAAAACCGCAGTATGCTATTTATGATGAAAATCAAATTGATTGAAAAGTATTTTAATGGCAGGCCAATTAGCGTTATGATGCATAAGCTCTTCCGCCAGAAGTCCCCCGTCCAGGTGTCATAACTGGACACTCTGATTGTCTAATCTACAAGGCGACAGGTGTCTGAAGATCTGGAGTGGCGAATCCAATGAATTACGACTCTATCTGATCTAATCAGTAAGTGCTCTAAATCAAGTCTAGCAACGTGAGCAATATACTGAAAGAATGAAGAAAATAAAGCCTTAAACTATTAACTCAATTTCCACTAGTATATATCCTGCCCTATGAATTTCAATAATCAAATTCCTGGATGATAGTGAATTGTATTCAAATGAAAATCAAGTATTTATGCTTCTGTCTGCCGGTGTCCCCCCCGGGGCAAATAATCCAATGACAATGATGGTGAAAGGAAATCTCCGCCTAATTTAGACAGTGTTTACAATAAATATGCAAACACACCGCTAAATTGGCATAGAACAAACACAATTCGAGGCAACAAAGCATGCCACCCTGGGTGGCAGGAAAACAAAGACAAGGACACACGTGTAAACTGAGTACTCTTGAACCTGGAGTTGTGTGAATTGATTGTTTCCTTTTTTTTTTTGGGCAAATATAAACAGTCAAATACTTGATCGAACGACAAAAATTATTGGCCAACTAGGCTCCAGCCCACGAGGGTCGAAATAGGCGGATAATCTTATCGGATATCGTCGCAGTTTCCTCTTTATTAAATTAATTTAAAAGCCAAATATTCAAATCATTTATCGAATTGATGGCCATTGCTTATCACCTATCACCCATAGACACTTGAAAGGCCCGAAAAATACCTGTTGTTGCAGTTGCCATACCTGCCAGCAACATTCATTGCATGTTGCTGGCCGCCGACAACATGTTGCTCGCGTGACGGCTTCGGCCTGAGTGCTCGGCACTTACTCGGTTCTGAATCGGCACTGGCTGCCATTTGCTGGTCGAATGGAAGCCACTGAAAGTTCGCCGTTCAGTTAAATTTTGCCATCCGGTCGCCCAACACGCACGGCGCGCTTACTCCTTCCCAGATTCGAGATCCAAACCGATCCGATCCGACACCGATCTACTCCGGCTGCAGTGTCATTCGAAAGTGTCTCGCTCCAGCTGCTCAAGTAATCAACTCAAATCAAATCGAATTAAAACCCATACCCAAAGGCACTTTAAAAATGTACAAAAATAAACAAAGGCGGGACAACAGAAGCGAAAAAAACCGGCTCTCGGCTTCACAGGTTGTGGGATTTTGCGCACAGGGCGACGATCCCGCCGAAGATCGGGCTCTGAGAGGCGCGTCCGACTGCATTCTTGCATCACGGGTAGCCGGCTTCATCCAGACAGGCCTTCATTTGCTCCAAAAGAAAACTGGATCTTGGCTAATTTACATTCATTAAAAATGAATTCCAAACAGACTACCTTAAGAAAACTTACAGAAATATTTCAAGAACTTGTGTCTTGAAATCTTTAGCAAAACAAATACTTAAAGTTCAATGAACTAAATGCCCATAAACCCAGCTGTATGATGCACATTTTCTCCCAGTGTCGAGTTCCGAGCACTTTGTGCCGTTAAATGATTTGTTTTCGTTACTCAATTAGACGGCTTTTAACAGCTGAGCTTCCATGCACTGAGAAGGTCTTTGCGATGCACCGCCAAAGATAAAAGAAATTATCATAACAGGTGACACAATAGTGTCGCTAATTAAAAGTGCAAAACAATGCACATTGCGCCGCTGGAATGCAAAGTCGACCCAGCGTCGACTTTATCGTATTTTAGTGCAGATTCTATATGTCTGTATAGTCTTTGGTCTATTTCCCTTCTGTTTACTTTTTTTATTTATTGGCCAGCCAGCCGCATCTGGCTCGAAACCCTGACCTGTGCCAATCAGTTTGCGTCTCATGTTTTGCTTCAATTTATTTGAACGTCAACAAATATCCGAGAAATTGTTGCGAGGCGTTTGAAAAGTGTTTGCTCTGCCGCTGTTTGTGTATCGTTTATTTATAGGCCTTAAATGCATCTGTCGGCGCAGTATTTGTATTTACATACTGCAAATAATAACACAAATGGCCACAAAACATAATCAAAGCCAGCAAAATTTTACCTCATCAAATAAATAAAATCTCTCGATAGTTTTTCACCTTTCAAGCTGGGTAGGCAGTTCATGAAACTGGAGTCACAAAAGCAGGAGGCGCATATTAATTAAAAACTGCATTTGATTGATTGATTTTTTTTTCCTCCTTTAATATTTTCCTCTCTAACAAAGAGCTTTAGTTATTTTTTTCTTAAATAAAAACTAGTCCCAGGTAATTACACCTGATAGTATCATATGCCCGGCCCCGAAATCTCATAAGCCACTTGACCAACCCACACAACCTGTTCGGAATTATACTTTGACCTGTCCACGCCACATTTGCAGCAATAATTGGCAAACAAAATAAAGGCGCCCACCCGGTGAAAATATTAGAAGGAGTCCCAAGTCCAAATTAAACAATTTGTTTAAAAAAAAAATAAAAAGAAAACACGACAACATCTGACGCTTTGCTTTCGCTTTCCTCTTATTTTGTCGCAGAACCATTCGGGTATTTTTAGATCAATTTTTCTTTCGCCTTTTTTGTTTTTTTGTGTTTTGGTTTGTTCATTTTTTTTATTTTTATTTAAATTTTATTTTTTATTCTAAAGAGAAAAGATCTGTTACTGCGTCTCAATCGTGCAATACATAATAAACAGACCTCTGCACTCGCTGCAAGTCGCCCAAGCCTATAATTTTCTATAATTTTCTATAAATATTTGCGCATACAACTTTGTCATTGGTTATTAATTATTTGCATCGATTTATTGTTCTAACCAAAGCCAGTTACTGTGACGTCACGGAGAGTAAGTGCACTTAACTGCACTTGCGAAAACAATTGCACTGTGAGCTGCGGCGTTGAGAGGGAGAGCGGAGCAGAAAAAAGCTAAAATGCATCATTGGAGCCATTGGAACTGGAGCTGGACGCTGCTGGTTGTTTCGGGTGAGTGGATGCACTGCGAAAAATAAGTACTACCGAGATTAGCAGAGGACAAGATTAGAAAAAAAATTTAATTAGAAATATGGCCTGATTTATATTGCAACTACCATGCGGTCCGGGTTATCTGGCCCTTGAAAAGCTGACCCGATACGTCAGTCAACTCTTGGACAGACAATTCCGCTATAGATTACACCGGATAGAGACACAGACATGGCAGAAAGTTGGGCGAAAAATTTATGAAATGCCAATTTCACTTACGTTTAACTTTATTACCCCTGACGCACATTTGCAACTTTGTTGCAACTACTACTCGATGCTGGCTGCTGGCACTGGACAGCCAAGAGTCTCAGATTGCCTTTTAGCTTTCAGCTAGAGCACACACTACTATTCCAGTGTTTCTGCTTTTTGTTTGTTTGTTTATTTGTCTCCTCTCGCCCACTATATTCAGTTCCTTTCTCGAATTTCCGTTCCAGCCCTGCTCCTGGCGGTGGCCAGCTCGGAGGAATGCGGCCAGGAGGAGTTCAGCAAGTGCGCCGAACCACTTGATATGCTGCATTTAACGTCGGAGTTTTCGATTGGTCCTGCCAAGAAGGAGGACCTGGACAAACTTTGTCAGTAAGTGGCCCCCAAAAGTCGATCTGGTCGGCGTTCCTCGAATCCCAATCCTCCTTCTCCTCCTCCCAAGCAGTCGCCAAGTATTTGCAAGAACTTCACATAGATCTTTTTTCTACGCCTAGTGAACTACGGAAGGGGGTGCGCTGCATCCAGAGCTATACCAGGCGGTGCATGGACCTTCAGCAGCGGAATCAGTTCAACAAGCTCTACCACGGCACCAACCAGTTCATCCGTGACCTGTGCAACAAGGGCGAGTTCCAGGACGAGTACCTTAAGCACATACCCTGCTCTGAGATGGCCAAGAAGGAGTACGCGGTCTGCGCCAATCGCTACAAGGAGACCATGGTGTTCCTGAAGCCCAGCAAGAACCAGGAAAGTCAGGAGAACGGCACTCTCAACGAGAACATCAAAACCATTTGTTGGTGAGTGATAAATAATTCTAAATATAATCCAACAATCAGCCATTGAAGCCTTTTAATTAGATTTTGCATTTCTAATATTGTTTCTATGCCTGGTTTTGTTTCGCAGCTCCATTAATGAGCTCGTGGATTGCTCTGAAAACGCGGCCCGCAAAATCTGCGGTAACGAGGCTGCCAAATTCACCCGGGAACTGGTCGACAAATACGCCAATAGCCTGACCAAGGTGAGTACATGGGGGTGCCTCCTCCTCCATTCCGGATCTATAGTCTCTCCCCTCGACTGCATAGATCTACTGCGAGGACTTTACCCGCAATCCGGGCATCTGTCGGGACGGCGAGGGAAACGGTTCTAATCGTTCGATGCAGAGCAGTTTTGGCATTTTGGTGGCCGGAACAGTACTCTCGCTGCTGGCCAGCAGAGGTACCAGATAGATGGCATCCACACAGTCGAGTGGAACACGGCGCAAACCAGTCTTACCAAACGGAAATTAACGATGCTACTGAGATGAGAAAAAATGGAGAAATAATGGAATAATAGTTAAGGTTTCCCCCACACGTCACACCGATGGAATTCCACACGCAGTTGCTGTTGCTCTTGCATACTTTTGGCAGTCAGTTTAGGCCACACCAATAATCCAACAATCCAGTAATCCAGAAATCCATAGAGAAACAGATAGTACCCAGGATGTCGAGGCCGGGCAGTCAAGAAACTTAAGCTATACGGTAAAGTAAATGTTAAGTATGTTACGAGTATGTATACCAGAATGCATAAAGACACATATATGGAGAGGAGATCGGATCGGAGGATCTGGGGAGTATATGTGCGGACATGTGTGTGTTACTATATAGATGATATAGGCTAGATAGTTAGAATCAGTGTTGAATCAGTGTGTGCGGCAGACAGAGTTACGTGTTGTTGGCCCTTCTTTCGTGCAATACTAGAGTTTCGTTGCGTTGAGTTTGTTGCAAGTTGTCCAGGCTTTAAGTGTAGGCGTAAACACCCATTAGATGTAATACCCCTAAGTTCCACAAATCATTGTTAGCTGCAGCCCTCTCCCACCAACCCTCACTCCTTTTACCACCCACTTCTATGCGCACAAGAAGATATAGAACTACAAGAAGTATCCCCAGCGGATTGGCTCACATATCGGCAATAACTTTATATTTAAAAGAAAGTGCATTTCTATGAACGGGAATTTTATAAATTATTTAGTGGATAGCGTATATATTTATTTCACACTCTGTAAATACTTTTAAAAAATACATAATATATACAATACATATATATTCGATTGATAATGCCGCGGCGAAGCGTTCGGAAGTATACTTATAAATAAATATTAGTTTAACTTAAATACACACACACCAACACACCTACACCCCCACACACCCACACTCACAATAACTTACAAAAAACTGTGAATATATATTATGATTAAAGAGTAACATTTATTTTAAGTAAAACACACAAATGCATTTGCAAAGAAAAAATAATAAAAAACGAGAAAATAAATTAACAAAAAGGGGAGTGTGAGAAAAGCGGGGAAATAAAAGGGAAAATGGCCAAGAGGGCTGGGTAAAACATTAAATATCAAACCAAGGGATACCCTTACATTTTTCAATAAATCGGTGAAAAATAAATAACAGTTGGAGTGGAGGATTTTTAAGATTATGCGAATTAATTGGCTGATATCATATTCAGAAATTGTATTTCATATTTTCTTATAAAATGTCCAATATAAAAATATTTTTTTAAAGGCAGTTCCCCAAATTAATTTAGACCCATTTGAAGAGTATAAAAAGCGAATGAGTGCCGTGCCAAAAAATGCTTTTTACTGCAGGATCTGGAAAACCCAGCGAGCGCAGCCAAAAACGCGCCATGCATCGCGCCCCACCCGGCGCCCAAAAGTATGCTGCGCAAATATGCCAGTGCTGGCTACCAGAAGGGGTTAGCACAGAATCCTGCAAGAGGCCAAGCCAGATGCGGAAGGAGAAGGGAGACGGGGGTCGGGGTCCCGCCACACCGAGGCTGGCCATAATTTATGTTTATGTGGTGCGTTCATTAGACCAGCGACGACGAGGACGACGACGACCTCGCCAACAGTTGACTTCTCGCCTGGCAGCTAATTTATAAGGTCGGCGCTAGGCTCAAGGACATGTGAACGGAAGCTGGAATCGCTGCCTGTTGGGTGTAATAATTACAGTTATCATAGGTGGCCAGCGGCGGGCTTTGGATTTGCATTTCGAGCTGGAAATCGTGGTCGGAAATTGATTTCCTGCCAGGCATAATGACCACAGTCAGCGGGATAAGTTAATTTACATGCCTGGCTAAAAGGCATTTCGGGATTACTACTTTCTGTCAAAAGACAGAAACTCAAGCTAGCTGTGTGAGTTACTTTTGATGACATTTTAATTTTTCATCACAATCCCGAAGAGCTTTCGTTCTAATCTATCATAAAGTTCTAAAAATTTAATTTCGCAAAGATTTATTTCCCTTTGAAATGTACCTCAGGGATAAATATTATTTTTTGGCCATTGAAAAATAAACCTACATATTGGCTGGACATTTTCAGTAGCCTTTGCAATCACATTTTGGAATTGCATTTCATGGGAGAGACGATGCGAGGCATTTTTGAGCTCGGAAGCAAGTGCTTAACAAATCAATAACAGAGCCAGGAGGGGAGGTGGCCTCCAGTTGGGACACAGGTATCTCGATTGCAGTTCAAATATTTACGATTCCATTTAGAGTGGGGGGCAGTAGAGGAAGTGGCAGCTCACAGCTCTCCCCGGAGTCATTTTCAACTTCATTTGTTGTGCAAATAGGCGAAATGCAACGGATCCCTGCCACCTTCACCCGATGCCCGGGGGCAAGTCATATAATTCAAAGTCATATTTTGTATCTTGAGCTAACGATTCGAAATCGTTTCTCTCTGCTAGGGCAACGGAGACCCCCTTTTCGGTTCTTAATTAATTGAAAGTATCTTTTGTGGGGACGTGAGTGTTGCAAGCAAATTGACAGTCCGCATCTAGTCGGAGAAGTGTTGAGTGCCATTCAGAGCGTTTCCCTTCCACTTCCTGTTGTCCTGCGTCCTGTGTCCTGGCATTCATTCATTTGCCTCCCACATGTCCTTCCTCCCCGTCGGAATCCTGCCATGTTTAATCCTCTTTAAGCGGCAACAGAACGATTACATTTTGATTTTTTTTTAGCTCCGTTTGGAAGCTGCATCCCAGCAGCATCCTTTTGGTGGCCGTTCGCTTTTGCTTTTATTTGCACATTTCCGCAGCGACTAATCTGCAATTATGTTTTACATAAAAATCCTATCGCATCCTATCCCATCCTATCCGGTAGAAAAACACAAACAAAACCCAGCATCAAAGTGAGTGGGAAAAGTTTTCAACAACTTTGTCCGAGCTTGATTGTTTTGCCGGCTGAGATTGTCGCGAAACACAAATATTAAACAACAACAGGGACACCAGCCAACTATCAGGATAAACGCTGTTTTAAATCCAATGCCCACACTACGTATACGTAATGCAGTGTCTTATTAATAAACCAGACCATCCCGACAGCGTTATGAATTTATATCGATATCAAACAAAATCAAACAATATCCGTTACTAATCTGCATATTAATGAGAATTAAACTAAACATTGAAATCCGAGTAATCACGATATTGTTCTGACAATGTTATGGCTATTAACATGACTGAAAGTCTGAGCACTGCCACGCAATTAGCCTTGATGCTTGTTGCTTTCCTGGCCATCTTGGTAAGCTACTAAGCATATTTAATAACTGGAAGGCATCCACTCTTTGAGCTTCGATGCATTTAGCATTTAGAAGCATTTACGTGTCGTTGCTGCTGCTGCTGTGTACAGTGTACAGTGTACACCCCACATCATATTCACTTTGAGTTATTTTCGTTTATATTTCAATTGCAAGTCACTTGGAGAGATTAAATGGGTACACGACCTGGCCCTCTCCAGGCAGGTCAGTGCGGCCCCTGACCGACCAGGCTGATGGCCATAAATGCGCTTGTGGTTGATAGGTGGTTGCCGAAAAGCAGCTAAGAGGGCGGTGGGGTGGCTATGTCAGCTGTTGGCCAGCTGGCTGGGGTTTCGAATGCATTCCGTACATGATAATCATGTTGGTTGCTACGGCTACTCCTGCTGCAAGCTGCAAGCAGCAACTTGCAACTACAGATGAGGCGACTGCATGCGTTGCATTTGCAATTCCTGGCTATACGGGATGGCAATATGGCTATATGCTGGATGTTGGATGCTGGACGCTCAATGGTCGATGGGCCTGTCTAGCTAAGCCTGCTGTGGCTTGTCGTGGTGTGGTTTATGGCAACATCTTGTCCAATTTATTACCACTTTCATTTGGTAGCATAATAGGCAATGCACTAGCCGGCACACACAAAAATGCACTAAGAGAAAAGAAATGACTATTATCATTAATATTAAACTTTAAATGGTTTTAAAATCTAAGCTCCTGTTTAACTTAAACCTATATATTAGTATGTAATTTTGTATGACTAACACTTAAATATAATTATTATTTTTTTAAATATTTTGTTGACTGTCGTTCGAAACGCACTTGTGGTGAATGCTGCCAGCCTGCCTGGGATGCATATATCTATAACACGTAGCACTCAAAAATACTCAAACATTGAAATTGGAGTTCTAGTTTTTGGTTCTCGTCTCGTTTCTGCTTCATCAGTTACATGCTTTGAATAATTCAAGCGTATTTTAGGCCTTCCTTTTGGACTGACGTCTTTTGTTGGCCTTAAAAGTTATTAAATTATTTCCAAAGTCTACCATTTCAGGTCGATTTTTTGGCTTTTATTCGGCATTTGAGCGTGTCACTTCTGTGATGACATGCAGCACAATGTTGCAAACTGCAATTATTGTGCATTAAACGAGTCGAATTAGCATAATTCAGTGCAACTGCCGACGAGTCTGTTACCCCTCCCACGTTACGTATACGCAATGTGGAACCCCTACCCAGTAGATTACGTATACGCAGTGCTTGACGGTGCCAGCCATTTGTGCTGCATATCCCCAGGCGACAGAAGCTGCAAAAAAATGAAACAGAAAGACGAGACACAAATTTTCTCGCGCTCTGGCGGCAGCTAAAAAACAAAGCTCGAGTGTTGACGGCAAACCACATGCCACCCATCCCTCTACAACCACCCCCACCTAACCCCTCTGACACCATCGCACCCTGTGTGTCCTTTAGCTGTTTGTCAACAGCAGCGGCAGCCAAACACTTGAGGGGCGTGTCAGGCGTGTAGGCGCCTTTTTAATTGCACTGAAAACAAAACGCTAAACACTTGTTGGCTGCCCGGATGGCTGCCTGCCCTCCAGCTAGTTGGCGAATGGCGACTGGCGGCCGAATGGGCGGGGTGCCATCAAAACTCTCTAAAAGGCAAAAAGCGTTGCCGACACCGCCAGCAGCAGCAGTGGCAGCAATTGCTGATGTTGCTACTGTTGCAACTGCTTTGATTGTGCCCCATAACTGTGAGGCAGCTTCCATGTCGCCCCATTGTGTCGCTTCTTTGCCGGCGCTTGCTGGAGTTTTGCTTT